GCACGGGAGCGGGGACACACCCCCCCCAAAAACCAAAAAAAGGGCCTCACGCCCCGGGGGGACCGAGCCCGGCGGCGCGGGGCCGGGGCCGGGGGCGGAGCCAAGGGGGGGGGGGAGCGTCAGGAAAGCGTCAAAAGCGCAGCCGCCGACCCCACGGGGCGACCGCTCGGCCCAACCGCTCCTTCCATTATCAGGGCATGCAACTGGTATCAGACCGTGAAGCCAGCCTCCGATCAAAAGGGGCGTGTAGCCCTCCTTTTGGTATAATAAAAGAGGCGTGTCCTAACTTTCGCGCGTGTGCCACTCGCCGTCCCAAGATGGCACGTTCTGCCCCGCCCGCTGGCCCGCCACCAGCCCGCTCCCCGCGCGCATGCCGTCAGTGTCCGCGCTGGGCTGTGTCGGCCACCTGCGTGCGGGTCTCGCCTCACCTCTGCTGCTCTCCCTCCAATCGCAGGATCGCCGCTCGAATGGGCGCAGCCAGGGGAGACGCGCCAAGCAGGCCAAGGCACGCGCGGCCAAGAAGAAATTCAACATCACGATTTCCAGCCAGGGCATGGATGCCATGGGCGAGCTCAAGCCTCTCGTGATCGACATCGTAGCGCTCTCCACCGGCATCATTGCGCTCGGCGGGGTGTGCGCGCCCGCCTGCCTGCCGACACTCTGCACACCCGCGTCCTCCCCGCTGGCCGCAACCGCTCTGGCCCTCCTCTGCGCAGGAGCTTATGCCCGCGGTCATGACCATGTTCCGCGTCAAGATCAACGAGAACGACATGACCGGCGTCTCTCCACAAGAGCTCGTGCGGCTGGCCGTCAAGCTTTGCTACAAGAAGGGCTACTGTACGTCGACCGCCCGCTCCCCGTGGGGATGGAGGTGCATGCTCCTGACCTTACTCCTTGCGCCCCTGCAGTTTTTGTCGGGCCGTGGCGCGACCGCATGGAGGAGCTCCTGGATGCCAACCTCTACGACGGCAAGGTGGAGCTGGAGATCGCGACGGTCGCGCTTTCCACGCAGGGCGAGAACATGCAGCACGTCATCAACATGGTCGAGAAGCTGGACACCTTGTCCGCCAAGGCGCGGTCCAAGAACAACGAGTACTACATGTGCCCCCCCCCCCCCCCCTGCTTCTTCTCGTGCTGGTCGAGCGAGGTTGTGCTTGGCCGTCTCGGAGGGTCCACGCGGCCACGTCGAGGGACGCTTCCGACAGCTTCGCCGTGTCGAAGATCTGCTTGCAGAAAGCCGCCGCGCGTCCCCCCTCATCTTTCGTGTGGTACTTCGGGAGGGAGGCCAGGAACAGCGCCTAAGCAGTGGCGTGTCTATTAGCTCCGAGTAGAGGGCGCGTCCTGCAGTTAAGGGGAAACCCGGTACGCGGGGCCAACCCTCGGAGACCCGTGTTTACTTACGGCCCTTTCCCTGCGAACGCGCACCCCCCAGGGCTAGGGCTTTCTTGCCCGCAACCCGATCCCGATCATCTGGCCGGCTGGGTGTGCTTCTTAGCTCCCCGGCCCTGGATGTGAGGCTACCGACTGCACTCCAAGTGCTCCAAGCGCCTGCAAGCCAAGCATTTGGTAGGGGCAGTGCTAGGGGCAGTGAGTACCACTGCTCAACCCAACACCACTTCTCCCATTGGCCGACCAATAGCGAGCACGACCGTTATGACCCCCCCCCCAAATGAACACACCAGTGAGGGTGGGCGAGACGATCGAGGGGTCCCGTACCATGCGGAATCGACCCTATCAAGTGCTCAAGTGCTCAAGCACGACCGGCTGCTTATGCACTTCGACGACGGCATGGACGAGATCATCACGCTGCCCGACGACACGGTGCGCCTGACCGGCGAGGCTGTTGTTGCGCGGTGCAAGTGTGCCCGGTGTGCGCCTGTCCGGCCCGAGGCAGAGGATGGCGGCTGCACGCTGACGCTTCCGCAGCCAGCGCGGCCGCGGCGGCGGAGCTAGCTAGGGGCGCCCTAAACCGGGTCTAAACCTGGTATGTCTAATGGGGTCCCCCACCCAGGCCGAGCCCTGTTTAGACCCAGTTTATCGTAAACAGGACTAACTCGTGTTCAGCAGTGGTCTAAACTGGGTCTAAATGGTCAAAACTGGTTCGCCGGATACCCTCATTCAGGCTCACGGACAGGAGATGACGGCATGCTGGAGCGACACACAAACCCTCAACAAACAGCGCCCAAGGAATTTAGAGTGACGAGTATGCGCCCCTATTGTAACCTGTAAGAGCCCTAAACCTGCCCTCGACTGCCCCCTACACGCCACACGCGGCCACGCCGGCCGAGGGTACAAACAAACGAGGTTCCCCGAAAATGGCCAGCGGCGCGCGGTCAGCCTTGCCGGGCGGTCACGACCTTGGCGAACAGCTGTACTGGACGGGCTCGAGCAAGTCTTCTTTTCACGAAAGAACTAAAAAGAAAGAATTCACCCGCGGGATGGGAGCACCCCGCCCGCTTTTTCGGCCCAGCCCTCCTGACGCTCTCGCCTGACGCTCCTGACGCTCTCATCGCGTCCTCAGTCCCACAAGTTTCGAGTTATCGCCGCCGCCTCGCCGCACCTGCTGCTCTTACGCGATGAACACCGTGACGGTTTCGCGCCGCGGTGGCGTCTTGCTTGCTGTGGCTTCCGGCATGTGTCCTCTCGGCACGAGCCCTCTCCCGCGCCGCGCCTTTGCCGCCGACGCCTTGGCCGGCGGCTCGCGCGTTGTCGTGGACGAGCGCTTCTCGATCACTATCCCTTCCGGATTCGTCCGTCTCTCTCGTGGCGGCGTCGGTGGCTCGAATACACTGCTCTCGGCTGGCGACTTCCGTGGCGCGATTCGCGAGACTGGGGCCGCCACTACGCTCTCTGTCCAGCGCGCAAACGCATCCGCTGTCGCTGCGCCGCAGGGCGACGAGGCGGCGGCGCTGACGGCAGCGGCTAATTCGCTTGCGTCGCTGCGCGACGAGCAGTCGGCGCTCGGTGGCGGCTGCCCGTCCGCCGTGCTGCCAGGGACGGTCGACCTGCGGGGCGGGATCCTCCGATTCGAGATGGCGACGCCGCTGGCTTGCATTCCCGGAAGCGCCGCGCAGGCGCCGAACGAGCTGTTGCGGCACACCGCTGTGCGGGCGGCGTGGTCGGGCGGCGGCGTGCTCCTCCTCTTTGCGGGCGCGCGGCAGACGGAGTGGCTCGGGGGAGCGGGGGAGGCCCTGACGGCGGCGGCGGACAGCTTCGCGCCGCTGTGATGTTCTTTACCTAAAGTATGGAAAAGAGTGGAACCAGAAGTGAGAAGATGGGAGAGGGGTGGACGCGTCCTCCCCGAACCCCGAGAGCGCATGGCCATGGGGGAAGGGGGAGGAACGGCGGTTTTGGGACTAGTTTTGGGATTTGGGCAATGGAGGCAGATCTCGACCCTGTTTTTCCTCCATCGCGGATCGCTCGCACTAATTCTTCCGGATCATGTAGTCCCCACACTCGCCTTCGGCGTCGCGCTTTCTCTTTTCGCCAGCGTCGACGAGTGTAGCTGCTCTCGAATGGCGACGGCGGACAACAGCCTAGCGTCGCCTGCGGAGACCAGCTCCGCTGCCGATGTCGTCATCGACGTGTCGGGCTCGGGCTTCGCCTCGATTCAGGACGAGTGGGTCGCGGAGCCCGGTGTGAGCGAGCTGTGCCTCATGTTCAACGCGATCGAGAGGATCGAGAAGCTGGACGGGCTGACGTCGCTGCGGAAGCTCAATCTGCGCGCCAACCGCATCGCCGAGATGCGCGGGCTGGGATCGCTCTCTCAGCTGGCAGAGCTCGAGCTCTACGAGAACCGGATCGAGCGGATAGAGGGTCTGGAAGGGCTCGAGGCGCTGACGATGCTTGATGTGTCATTCAACCGGATCGGCAAGATCGAGGGCCTGGAGGGCGCCGGCCTCGCCTCGCTCCAGCAGCTCTTCCTCGCCAACAACTCAATCTCGGAGCTGGGCGGGCTCGCCAACCTCCCTGCTCTCCGCCTCCTCGAGCTCGGATCGAACCAGATCCGCACGGTGCCCTGCCTCAAGGCGCGCGCCACCGCCGTCGCGCCGCAAGCCCTCGCGCCGCACCGCCGCGCGCCGCCCGCGCGCACGCCGCCCGCCGCCGAGGCTGACCTTGTCCTCCCGGCTGCGCGGCAGCACCTGCGTCGACTCGAGGAGCTGCACCTCGGCCGGAACAAGATCAACAGCCTCGCCGGCCTCGCCGGCCTGCCTGCGCTGCGCGTGCTCGGCGTCGCCTCCAACCGGCACCGCTGCCCGCAAGGGACACTCGACAGTCACACCCCGCCGCCATTGAGTCGCTTGGCCGCTTCTTTAGGCTGCGCTCGCTTGAGGGCGCCGCCCGCCTCGCCGCCCGCCTCGCCGCCCGCCTCGCCGCCCGCCTCTCGCACCCTTGCCCTGAACCGCCACCCGCCCGCCGCCGCCCTCGCCTGGCCGCAGGGATAGAGGGGCTAGAGACCCTGCGCGAGGTCTACGCGGACCACAACGGCATCGACAGCATGGGCGAGAGACGCACCTCCCACCCACCCTGCCGGCCGCCTCTGCATCAACGCTTCCCCGGCCGCGCCCAGGCACGCTCGTGCGGCTCGAGCGGCTGCACACTCTCGACCTCTCCGCCAACCGGCTGGCGGCCATCGAGGCGTCACTCCGAGAAGCTTCCACCGCTAGACCCACTCCCACGCTTGCGTGTCGGGTGGTCGCCAGAGCCTTGCCGTGCTCTCGGCACCGCACGCTGTCTCCGCCGCGACAAGTCACCGCAAGCCCCTCCCGCCCCTCCTGCCTGACGACGCTGCTTCTCCCTGCCCCTTCGCCAGTGCGCCTCGCTCGCCTCGCTCGAGGAGCTGTGGCTCAACACAAACCCGATCGCCACGCTGTCCGACGTGGCGCAGCTGTCGACCCTCCCCGTCCTCAAGACCATCTACCTCGAGGGCTGCCCGGTCAGCAAGCTCGCCGACTACAGGCAGGCGCTTCTGCGGCTGGCGCCGCGGCTACAGCAGCTGGACGCCGACATGATCCCGCAGAGCTGACAGCGGTCAGCACGCCCCACCAAGGACCGATCATCTCTCCTACCGTGGAACCGAGCCAGGTCCACGGCGCGGCAGCGGACCAGCGCGCAAGGGCCCCGCAACAGGTCAGCATGCCCAGCCCGAAGCCGTGCGCGCGCGAAAAGCTCTGGGTTTTACCTCCGCGAGAGCGGATTCCGGGGCATCCGCGCTCCCCGCCCGGCGGCGCCGGGGCCGCGGGGCGCGGGCGGTGAGGCCTCAGAGTTCTTTTTTCGTTCGGCGTTTTGCCGTTGGCGTTGCTCCTTGCGGGAGGGGGAGCCAGCAGCCACAGGGGAGGTGTTACGCTTACGGGGGATGAACCGTGTTATCTCTCTCGTGTCTCGAGTCGGACAAGGAGAGTCCTGTGAGCTGTGTCGTGCTTTTGCATGTCAGGTAGAGCCGTAATGTATTTACTGAATAACAGCGGTGACTGGCCCCAAGCCTCAGCCATGCTACGCGGATAACACCCCATCACTCGCACATACGCACCACCTCAACGCATGCCACTTGCCACACATCTCTGTCCACTGTCGGTACTCTCGGAACTCGCGTACTGCGGTCAACGACTGCCGCTTGAGCGGAAGTTTTCTGAGGGCAGCGACCTTCCGTCGGCATCGAACTCTCGGATCTCGGACATCTTCTTCTGCTTCTCGAAGATGGCCCGCCCGAACGGCCGCGGGTCCTCGAGGAACTCCTGCGCGTCGCGCAGCACGCCCATCCGCGGCGGCGGCGTGGCGGGCGCAGACAGCGGAGCCTCGTCCAGCTCGATCGTGTCGGCGGCCGCGACGTTGGTGAAGGGCGGCGGCTGCGGCGTCTCGCCCGCCGTGGCGGCGGGCGCCGCGTAGCAGCGGTTGTCGATGGCGCAGAAGCTGGTCGGCTCGAGGCCGGCCTGGCGCGCGATCGAGTAGATGTGCGGCATGGCGGAGGCGGGCAGGTCGGGCTTGCGCGCGTACACAAAGGCGCCCTCGTACTTGTTCTGCAGCGTCTTGCCCGTGTAGTAGACGATGCGGAACGCGTCCTCGCCGCGGTCGTTAGCGCCGATCACGTACCAGTTCTCCCAAAAGGTGAGGCCAAACATCTTGCCCTCGGTGTGCGCCGTCCGGTGCGAGCCGGGCGTCGTGTCGAAGACGAGCTTCTCGTGCAGCTGCGCGTGGAAGTCCTGCGGCATGCCCGCGCGCTGCCGCGGCAGCGAGTACTCGACGTCCACGTCGACCGCCGACCCGTCCGCCGCGATGGCCATCGCCTGCTGCCGCGCGGCCGGCCGGAAGGAGTTGCGCTGGCAGTCGTAGCAGTCGTAGTTGGAGTTCCAGCCCATCACCTTGTACCACTTGCCCGCCATCTGCTGCGGCGTCACCGCGACGAGCGGCTTGGGCGGCAGCGGCGCGTCCAGCGGACCGTCAGCCCCCGGCGCGACGATGGCGATCTTCAGGCAGCTCTGGTCCTCGATGGTGCACGAGAGCACGTCGTCGAGCACCGGGTTGCCAAACTTGGCAAAGCAGCCGACGGTGCACTGCGTGTCGCCCATGCACTTGGCGGCGCAGGTGAGGCCCTTCATGCAGTCGCCGTTCTCCGCGCACGCCTTTGTCTGCAGCTTGCACGACTTGGCGAAGCACTGCGGGTCAATCAGCTCCGACTTGAACTGCCCCTGCGCCAGGTCGGCCAGCTCGTTCTCGGCGTAGCCGGGCGAGGCTGAGCCAAGGAGCAGCGCAGCGCTGGCGAGCAGCGCGGCGGCAGACTGCGCGGCAGACTGCGCAGGCTGCAGCAGCCAGCGCTGTCCGCTGCCGCCGCGCCAGCCGTCTGCAGAGGACGCCTCGGAGTGCGCAGCGAGCGTCGCGGCGCCGTGCCGCCCTGCGGCGGAGTGCGAGGCGGAGCAGCCCGGCGAGCCGGGCGGAGCCGGCTGCGGCAGCGCGGCCGGGCCGACCGAGAAGGACAAACCTGACAAGTATGTGACGACGAGCATCTCACGCGATCCAATGCTAATGAAGACGCGCGGACTATTTCTTTTTTAAATTGCGCCCTTGCACTCGGGTGTCGCTGCCCTTGCACTGCTTGCCATCCCGCTGCTGCCTGTTCTGTTTGCGGCCAACCCCGATCAGGCGTAAGAGTCTCGCGCGCGAGCAGTGTAGGAGAGTCCCCCGCCGCGCGCCGGCTTTGTCCTTTGACCTTTGTATGCGCATGCATGACCGGGGCATGATCGCTCTTGCTATTGCCGCTGGCGCATCATCCATCGATGCGAGAGCAGGTCGCACACGCGCCGTCGGCGCTCAGCCTCAGGCTCTGGCCTCTGCCGCGGATCATGGATCCATTGATGAGGCGCGGGCGTGTGGCCCTAGCCTGTCCCGAGACGGATCCAATCGGATATGGGACACGGATGATTCTCGTCGTCGTCGCCGCTGCCGCGCGTAGTGTACTGCTTCGCACGAAGTGTTCGATGGCACTTCACCTTCAGCGCATGTGGCATGACCGGGTCATCATAAGCGTGCCAGAGCGCACAAACGAAATAAAACAACACCGATATACCGCTAAAAAGTCCAAATAAAAAGGGACAGTCAAGTGCTCACACGAAGTGCTCACCTCTCGTCGCGCCTCGCGAGCAGCTGCAGCGCCTCACGCGGCGTCAGCAGGTCGCCCTTTGCACAGTATCTGCGCATGCGCTCCACCTCGCCTTGCACGAGATCCGTGCGGACGCCACGGACAACGCCCTGCGAGTGCACAACCTCCGCGTTCCACCACCCCGGAGCGGTGCCGCCAGCTGCTGCGTACACGTGCAGCGCGGGCATTTTGCGAGCGCAAACGCTCAGAAACGTGAGCAGGGCGCGTGGCATGTGGAACGGAGGCGCCACCACGACCAACGCCATCGCATTTTGCCGTTGGCATTCGCGAATGACGGTCTCTGCCTCTGTGAGAGTGTTCGCATATGGCAGCTCGTAGGGCAGTCGCTCGTGCGAGAGCCCGGCGCGGTCGAGTAGTTCCTCGAGTACCTGCGGACCACCGTAGCAAGGTGTTGGCGGCTCGAGCTTCTCGTTCTCCAGACCGAGCAGCAAAGTTTGTATCCCCGGAGGCAGCGCAGCACGGGCCATCGCAGCGCCTGCAGCGACTGACGACACGTTGTCGTCGGTGTGTGAGGTGAGATAAAGAAGCACGTGGTTGCCGTAGCGTTTGGTGTCGCAGCCCGAGTCGCAGAGGGCGCGCATGACGAACGTTAGCATGTCGTTTTCATCTGCGCTGCGTATGGCCAGCGCCGCGCGCCGCCAGCGGCACTGCGCCCAGAGACCAAGGCTTAGACCGACAGCGGTGGCCGCGGCTGCTGCCTGCATCGTCTCACCACGAGGCCGAAAGACCACGAGGCCGAAAAGGACCACGAGGCCGAAGCACCACGAGGCCGAACTAACGGCTACCCCTCGGAATGTGACACCAGAATGCTGTGCTGGCTCCTTCACAGCCATCTTACCTAAGGATGGCTGAGCTAGCTACAGTGCAGCCACATCCTTCAGCCCGATGGCTGCAACACACACACGGCCACCTTTTTTAGTAGACATGGCTGGAGACGCACTACCGCAGCCATACCGCCCGCCTCGAGGTGGGCCCTCTTGGCTGAGCTGGCTACATCGTAGCCATCATGGGAAAGATGGCTGGGGGACAGCCATTTCAGCCATTTCAGCCATCTACTATGGCTGCGTCATAGAGATGGCAGCCATCCTCCAGAGCCATGGCGGTGGTAATTCGATGGCAGCCGATGGCAGCCGTCCCGCGAGGCCGGGGGCGACAAGCGCGCAGCCATTTGTGCGTGTGTGGCGGGGGAGGCGGACGGCTGCCATCGAATTATCACCAGCCATGCTCCGGAGGATGGCTGCACTGACTGTGCCCCAGCCATAGGCATAGTCTAAGGCATAGTAGATGGCTGAAATGGCTGTCCCGCAGCCATCTTTCCCAAGATGGCTACGATGTAGCCAGCTCAGCCAAGAGGGCCCACCTCGAGGCGGGCGGTATGGCTGCGGTAGTGCGTCTCCAGCCATGTCTACTAAGGATGGCTGCCGTGTGTGTGTTGCAGCCATCGGGCTGGAGGATGTGGCTGCACTGCAGCTAGCTCAGCCATCCTTAAGTAAGATGGCTGTGAAGGAGCCAGCACAGCCATTCTGGTGTCACATTCCGAGGTTAGCCCGAACTAACCGCAGCGGGCAGGATACTAACACACACTCCACGTCTCTAACTATCTCACGAATACTTGATTTTTCCCGGCTGTCGGATTTTTCCGCGCCTCGAAATTCCTAACAATCGCCTCGCCGCTCCACAATGCCTTTCTCCGTTGCCTCCAGCCGCGCGGCGCCATCGTCCTCGATCCAGTGCCGGCCTGTGACAAGCTTGGCAGCTCGCGGATCGACGATCGCCACGAGCTGCTGCCCGGCGACCGCCGCTCGCCTTCGACGACAGTCCTAACAATCGGCGGTGAGCGGCACCTCCTTGGCCCAGCACCGGTGTTGTCACGTCTCAGCTGCTTCATTGCCATGTCCAGTTATGGCGGAGACGCGCTGATAGCATTCCTGTGCACGCAGTTGGACCTGCACGGCCATCGGGTGCGTGGCGCAAAAAGACCTGTTTGCGCTGTCTTCGATATCAGCGGCTACATGCGCTGCTGCGCGTACCTGTGACGCACACATGTTGATCACATCCATATACTTCACTAACATACAGCTGGCGAGCCTTGCATCCCTCGTCTGGCCATGCTGTGCATCATCTCACCGTATGCAGCCGTATACGCCCACGGTGCTCACAGGGTCGGGCGTCACGGTGCTCGTGGCAAGCATCTCCGTCACTCTTGTGACTTGTGGGCTTGGTGGTGTTGCCTCCGGTGCTACTGCTAGCTAGGGTGCCAATGGCGCGACGGGAGGCGGCCATTGGCGCCACTACAGCAACGATTGTTAGGCCGTGGAAAAATCCGGAATTCGTGCCCCGAACCGGCCGACACGTGGCCGCATATATGTGTATATACCACGTCCGTATGGGCTGCACAAGCCAAACCACGCTCATCACAGCTTGCCACAGTGTGGCCCCTGGCAGTGGTAAGCCATTCTTGGTGTACCAGCTCACAGGAGGGCCGCTTGAACACGATTGTTAGACGGCGTGAAAAATCAAGTATTCGTAAGATAGGTAGGAATTCTGCCTGCGCGAGCTGGCACGACACATTGTTGTATGTTGAAAGCGCTCTAGTGATCACTTTCATACTCGGACCCTAGCTTCGCAGCGACGCTCGTGGCTCCTCCTTCCTCCCTCTGATTGGATGGAGCGGAGCTGAGGGCGGCAGCGCGCCCGAGGCCGCGTGTCACGCCCCAGCCTCCCCCACCCACCCACCCACCCCACGACCTCCTCCCGGTGCCTCACTCGATGAGCGCCCCGCTGTCATGCTGCGGACGCCACTACGCCACGGCGCACTGCCGGGTCGCCACCGGTGGGCTACCGAGGTACCTCCCGTTGCTGTGCGCGGGCGTGCCACGCGCGCCCCGCGGTCATGCTGCAGGCGCCTCCATCGCCGTCCCGTGCACGCAACCCCCTCCCACCCCACACATGGCCGCGGCACGAATGCTCACGAGAGCCACCACGCCTCGATCACGCCTCCTCGCTCCGCCAACTTGACCATCGCTCAGCTCACCGACTTGACCATCGCTCAGAGCTCACCGACTTGACCATCGCTCAGCTCACCTGGTTGACCGCCTCGCGCACAATCTCGAAGAGGTCGGT